CGGGCCTCGCCTCTTCCCCCGGCCGCGCAGGAGAATGGTCTCTTCAGAACCTGCTCCTAGGGATCCAGATTTATAGCCCGGTCTGAGAAAGGACGGGCTATTATAGAACTGATGATGCATTTGCATATTCATCAGCCATATAGAGGAGGTAAAGAGCTGGGAAGGGAAAGGAGAAATGAATGGTCAATAGAGAAGGCTTGAAGGAGAACACAGATTAAAAGGTCTATTTATTTTTTACAGCAGAAACTCGAAAAGGACTGTGCACAATTCCCCACCCCCATTCCTTTTCACAGCGATTGCTCATGGGCCGCTGCCTCCCCTTGCCTTGCTCTGCACCGCGCTTCTCTCGCACACAGGCGTTCTTGCTCACGTACTCGCAAGCACACATTCTCCGATTCATGCACAAGTGTGTACACAAGTGGGGATTAAATTCCCTCCCTCGCTTTTTCATTTCTTGCACTGCACACTTTCTTACCTTTTTGACCATAAATGCCATATGAACCTCTTTTTGAGGTGGTACAGTTAAAAACTAACATTAATGGTCAGCTCGTGGCGTGCTTCAGTGTTTTTCTATTTGTCCAAACCCAGCATGCAGTCCTGGGATTGCTTTTCCTCCCTTAACACTTCACTGCCTAGAGTCTAGAGGCCCAATTATGTAACTGCTTCTGACTTGTCTGACTTGAGGGATAATGCTGCGTACTCAGTTTGATCTAATTTCCTGTCCTCTTTTCAATTCAGGCTTTATTTGGCCCATGTTTAGACAAAGGTGCTTTTGAGAAAAGGAAGATTTGAGGAGGAGGAGACAACTGACGCTTTTAATTACTTGCAAGTAATCAGAAGTCCATCTACTGTTTTAAACCTGTGTCAGAGGTGAGGAAGAGGTGTTAATCTGTGACCAGCTGCTCTGATACGTTTGCGTCCTTATATGGAGCCAGCTCAGCTGTACTTAGTGGGGGGGAAAGCTTGTCCCTGAGGATGCACCCCAGCTCATTCACCAGTGCCCTTTCACACTCACTAACAAACCACAGGGACAAAGGGAGGGAAGGCAAGCAGGGAATGAATTTACATGTGGGAGGATTCCAAGACTATATGCTTCGCAGAGTTTTTTGTGGAAATACCAGAATTCTCTTTTTGCTGTGTTCCAGTATTTCCCCTCTTCGCCTGGCTGTTCTCAGCAGTGGAGCTGGCATAGCTGAGAATAAACATAGTTAATTCTCTTTTACAAAGCCTGAACAGGATGAAGACAAGGAAGCAAACTTGGAAAACAGAGGATACATACTCAAAACCTCAAAGGAAAAAAAAAAAATTGTTAAAAATTCTTGCAAGCTAACAGGCAAGTTTACTTCAGGTACAGACTTAAACGCATCTCACGTCTGGGGAATTGAGGTTAGATCAATCCTAGGTAATAACATTTGCTGAGGAAGTGTTTCCCAGAAATCTTTGCACTGGGTAAGAAAATATGTTTTGAGTATTAAGTACATCTTTAAAATAGGTTTATTTTTTTTGTCTGTATCGTTAGAAGAATTTAATTGGGCAAAGGGAGTAGAAATGGGGGATGATATGTGATGTTAAAGAACAAGATGAGAAATGTCTGCTGTTGTATTCTCCTCCAACTTATTGTTTTACTGGAAGTGCTACCTCTGTACAGACATAGTAGGATAGATTTGACTTTTTATTAGTCTTTTTTTACCACTTTTTTTACCATAGGGTGTTCCTATGCTGTTGGGAAATGTGGAAGATAACCCTGTGACTGTAGATGAACACCTATATTGGTAAATCTGTACATGATGCCTAGCATCACATTTATTTCCAAATTTCCTGCCTCATGAATCTACCAGGTGCTGAGATCGCATAGGTCTGCTCTAACTGCGTAAAGGCACTGAGGCATCGTTGTCAGTGGGTTTCCTCACACTACTTGAGACTGCAAAAAGAAGCAATTGCTGAAATGCACTGCAGCGTTTTTAGCTTCCAGGAGCCAAAAGAGAAAAAATTCAGCTTTCGAATAGCTGGAGGTGACATGAAGGGCCAGGCTATCTTTTGTCTGAGGAGGGTTGGTACTTGAAGATAAGTATACATGTGTCTTGACCTTGCTTCAGTTCAGCTTCCAGATCTGATAATGAATGTGTTCTGGCTGTGTGGGGCTGTGGGCCCACATTGCTGGTAAAGTCTCTGCTGCTTTTACAGCATGCTGGGTTTTTTCCACTGTTAGCCACTGACATGTGCTTATTTGGCCTGTGGTTGCAAACCGTTTACCATTCTTGGTTCTGTGGCTGCAGTAAAGCTGAATAATTCAAAAAAGGAGGAGTTGCATTGTTTTCCTTCATGTTAAGCTTCTAAATTTAGTTCTGTTGAATTTTCCTGCATGCAAGTTAATTACCAGTATTGCCAGTGTAACAACTGTTTCTTTTGCACCTTCTTTATTTGTT